CTTTTAAGTTCAATTTTACCATTGTTCTGTACAAAAATTTGTGCTCACGATCTTGGAATATTAGGTAATGGTTGGGGATCTTAATTTTATAAAATAAAAATATGATTTTCACGCGCAAAAAAAATAAACAATGACTAAATTTATTTTTCAAGAGTATCTAAAGAGAAAAAAACTAAATTTTCAAAGTCTATCGACGATATCCATCTGATTGTAAACATAAATTTACTTACGTCCATACACACCCACATATCGAATTTTTTTCAATATTATCTTATTACGTATTTTGAAAGAAAATGTCTTTGATTTTTTTATGATAAAATATAAAAAAATTACGATAAAACGCTGAAAAATGTATGATTTTAAATGAACTTGTGTTTCCCTAAATTTTTTACCCCTAAAAATATCACCGTTTTTGTAAAATGATCCATTTGCCTCTAGTTGAAATTTTTTTTCAAAATTTTCTGTGAATACGTGGACATTAGTATAAATAAAAACAAATTATGTTAATGGCAATTTTTTGGTACATTGACCTTAATTTATCTTTAAAAAAGTAGAGCATAAAAGTCACATTCTCATCATATCCATAATTGTTATGCTAAACACTTTAATAAAGCAAACACATTAGGTGTTAGCATTAAGTAATTTAGTTTTCCAACATATTAAAAGAACACTTGTTTTTAAAGCACGAGTATAAAATTGTACGGAAATAAATGTGTATTATTTTATTATTTTTTTTTTTTACTAAAAAGCATCTGCATTAAACCCTAGAGTAAAATGTAGAGCGTCTTCTTGAAAACACCCAAGTTTGCCTCCCAACGCAAGGATCGAGCAACAGGGAAAAAAAACTAGCGACAAAAATAATCCAGGGATTTTTAAATGTCCATAAATAAAATAACTTCAAAAAAAAAAAAAAAAAAAAAAATTCGACGATTGTATCCTTGTAGCTCACCACCTAGAGCATGCCCGAAAAGAAGGAAAAAATATTCCACCCATAGAATGCCAACTCCTCGTTTGCCTGCTACCCGAGTACCACGGCGCGTCGTACTCCGCCTACGCGGTAGCCGTCCATGCTTGATGATAAACCACTGCCCCGAACAACCCCGTATATCCAGTCACCGCAACAGCGCATGCGTATCTGAAACTACGTGCAGGTACCACCCCGACAATTATCCTGTACCCGAGCAGCCCCTCTAGCCGTGCAATGCTTGTGCATACAACCCGATACATCGGGTAAAAACAACCCACTACTGCAAGCTCAGCTTTTTACCTCGCAACCCTCGGCTCATGAGGTGTCGCGCGGTTTTACTCACGCGCCTCTGGGCATATGCAACGTGTGCCATACGGTAACTTTTCAGACGTCAGTCTCGGCACACTTGTGCTTCTCGTCGGCTTTCGTACCAGGCGAGCAGGAGCACGCTGGTGGTCGGTCCGTTTTACCACCTCTGTATCGGAGCGGAGACCAGGGCGAATGAACGACTTGTTGGCGATCTATGGTGCCTCGTGAGGGGCTGCATCGGCTAGAGCCTCAGTACCCATTATACGCTGTACGTATATGTATATTCGTAAGATCTCGTGGCTTACACAATCTAAGTACGTCCGAGCTTCTGATGGTGGGTGGGTTGGATACAATCACGGTAGTAGGTTGTACAGCATAATATGCTTGCTTGGTGAGCTCATGTACGTTGGACGTGCCGCTTTGGAGACGTAACTATATATATATAGATCAACTACTACTTACTTTCGTACAAGATTATATACATGCATGTAAAAACGAGCATCGTGATTACTAATTGCGTCACGTGTGTCAATTCAGTGCAAGAATAAACAAAGGAAATTCGTCCTTCTTTAATTATAAGCTATAGCAAACGTTGCGTCAGCGACCAGGGAGTTTTTTTTTTTCGACCTGGCAATTTTTTATGTATTGAAGATATTTAAAAAATGGTAACGTGGAAATTGCTGTAAAAATTTTCTGGCCATTAAAATCGTACTCTTGTGGTTTTGGAAGTATATTTCTTGTTTATCTGAATTGTCTTTACTTCGTCAACAGTTCTCACAGCGAGTAAAAACAATAACTAAGGGTTCGTTAGTCAGTTTATCGGCTAAAACCGAATTGAAAATCCAAGGGTGTCAAGGTAACACATATATTATAAAAATTCAAATCAATAATTTATGAATTTCGCTATCAATTTTTTTTTTTTTTTTTTTTCTTATACATTAATAAAATGTATACATTTAGTGTGACAGTAAACGAAAGTTTGATCGGAGAAGGATGTAAATTTTAAACGGGCANTGTATGTTGTTAGCTTGTTGCTCCTGTTTCAGCTCGAGGGCCCACATGTGTTGCGGCCATCCGGTTCGGCCCTTGGCTTTTATCGTCTCCTCTTGCATCCCCATCATGTGCATGGCCACGTCATTCTGCAACATATAGGCAAAAAAAAATTTTTTTTTTTTTTTTTTTTTTTTTTTTTTTTTTTTTTTTTTGTTATCTAAAAATCGACACTTGCAAGCGTTTCACACCCTTTAGTAGTCTCTGTGCCATAATTATTTTCATTCCAATTTGTTCGACTTGTGGAAGCCAGTCAAATAAATCGGTATGGTGGTTCATCAAATGTTTATCAATACAGATTAGATTTTAAAATGTAAAAAATCAACTAGAATTTACATCTCTCACTCTCAAACAGATTGTACCAAAGATACCGAAATTAACAAATCATTCGTATATGTAAAAACCCTCAATCA